TCTTCGCCGTCCTCCACTCTTACCTTGCCTCCCTCGAATTTCTCAGTTCAAGCAGGAAACCCCACTTCTCATTACAACTCCTCTGCATCGATTTTGATTCGTCAGTCCCTTGGAGCGTAAGTTTTGACACCGTGCTTGCGTAGTTTGATTGATAATGAGGAAGATTCCGCGATTTGATGTTCGATGTGTGTTTTTGTGCATTATTGAAATTGGGTTTTGTCTCTAGTCTATATGATCAGTACTTAAAACACGGTTATGGTGGCCTTTGCATTGTTTGTGGGGTTCGTTGTTGGGGCATTAGCTGTAATCGGTGTTGAAGTTGTGGGAGTTTTGTTCTTGATACACAAATTGGGTAGAAAAACGAAGGAAGATGCTGTTAAGGTCGCCGAATCCGGATCCTCTGAAAGAGAGGAACCCCAGTTTTCATTTCCTGATAAACAGGTCAGTTTTCTTACGTGTTTATAGAATCCAGTCTTCTAATATATGATGGATTTGAAAAATTTGGTTATGAATAGAACTACTTCATTTATGTAATTCTTTACAAACTGCTTGCGTTTCAGGGTTGGGTTTGGATTTTAGAAAAGGAAAAGATCCCAAAGACTTTACCATCATTTGATAAAGGATCACGTTCACAAAAACGTAAAAATGAGATTGTGGAGGTTTCACCTGTGCGGAAGCAAGCAAGCATCAAGGATCTATCACTCATCCTTATAGAACCAGATGACACCCTCACGAAGATTCCTCTTTCAGGCTGCACTGTAGAAGCCGTTTCTGCTACAAATTTACCCACCAGAAAGTGGTGATGCTCTCTTTACTAGAAACTGTGTATTGTGATTGTTACTTCCCTAAAGAAACTGTTAAGACATACATTTATATTACAGCTGCATAACTTTGTATCTACATATCAGTCTAAAGTTAGTTGCATTTTTAAATCTGCTTCTTTGGTAGGTTGTTTGTTCTAGCCTTTTAGGTACCTCAGATGATTTCCCTTAGAGTGACATGGATTTCTACTTGTTTGAAATACAAATTACACACGAATTTATGTACTATTGCTAAACCTTGGTGTTGTGTTTATCTCACAGGGCCAAAAAATACCCTGTCAGAGTGGAAAACAAGTCATCAGTACTATACCATGGAAGCAAGCTATTCTACTTATATTTCGAGACATCTTCTGAAAAGGAATCATGGTGTAAAGCCCTCAGACTTGCTTCATGTGATGACAAAGAGAAACTCAAATGGTTTCACAAATCGCTTTCAGACTTTCACAGTTACTTAGGATCCATAAATGTTGAATATCCTTCATTTCTAAAACCCTCCATAGGTTTTAATCCAGAAACAGGCGATAAAACAGTCAAGATAGAAACTTCATCATCAAAATTTCGCCACTTATTAAAAAAATTTGCCAAAAAGACTTCTAAAGCTGGTAGAGAAGATAAAAAAGAAAAATCTAATACAGTGCAAGAGTCGAGTTCAGTTGGTAGCTCTTCAAAACACTTTCAAACACAAAAGAAACCGAATCATTCCGCTGAAGAGGAAATTGTTCAAGCATTATTAACACCAAGATCTGATACAGATTCTACTTATTCTATTAATAAAAAGCTAGTGATGATGGAACATTATGTTGCAATTTGCTAATATCACGGTTATTTTTTGATGCCAAAAGCAATGCAGATTTGAAGAGCTCTATACAAGCACGAATTCAGGTGTGTAACTTTTTTGAAATAAAAGATTTAGCACATAGTTTATAACTAATTTGTAAATTATCTGTGTGTAGAGGACACTCTCTACTATAAGGACCCCGAGTTACATAGGGGAGATAGTTTGCACAGGGGTAAATCCTGGAAATATCCCGCCATATATTCATGGTATGCGGGTCCTACCATCAGATTTGAAGGAAGTGGTTGCCATGGAGATTGATATTGAATATTTGGTGGGGCAGTTTTGGATATTGAAACAAGGCTTGAAGTACAAGAGCTTGAAAATCCAGAAACTATGAATTCAGATTCCAAATCTGTTAAGGATGTCACTTCTGATCTTCTAGAAGGTGTTGGGTACTATGAAGAACAGTTGAAGCTTAATCAACACAAGGGTGATGAAATACGCAAATTGGGTAAGTTGAATAATCATTGTTTTTATTTTGTAAGTTGATCAGTTAGACAGATATACTAATTTATCTTGTTACAGAAGAGGTAAAAAGTTTTAAGGGAGATGAACAAGCATCTTCAAGTTCTGCTGTATCCAAGTGGAAATCTGTGTTAAATTCTGTTGCGAAACAAGTGTCTCAGGTTTGTATAACAATAATTTCGGATTTGAATGTTTATTGATTATAGATATTAAGTAAAAGTGTTTATTAAAACTTAAATCTTGTGATTTGTGAAGGTGCCTCTTTCAATGGCAATACGGGTAACAACTCTTAGAGGAACATTAAGGTGCATATAAAACCTCCTCCTTCAGATCAATTGTGGTTTGGTTTTACATCAATGCCTGATATAGAATTTAGTTTGGAGTCTTCTGTTGGGGATCACAAGATTACAAGTGGACATATTGCATTGTTCATAATCGGTAAATTTAAGGTTGGATTAAAATGCTCTTATGCAAATTTTGTTTTGTTTTTTGTCTTGAATGCTTCCAAAAATGTGATCTTTTACTTTTGAGGTCAAAACACTTTCTCAATTTCAGAAAAGTGCTTATGTTACTAAAATAGCAACCAGCTCCTCGAAACTAATTTTTGTACACTATTCCTTAGCTGTTCTAATGTTGTAAAGATTCGGTTAAATTTTTGAAAAAAGAATGTATAATACACTTATTAAATTTAGGGGGTATTCTTGCACATTTTAATAACTTAATTAAATTTACCCAATCCCATTGCCCATTGCCATCAATGGTGACATCCTGCTTTCCCTCTCTTTATCTTTTTCAATTGTGATTCACAATAGCTTGATTCTTGATCTGGTTTGGTTCAATATGTGATATTTTTAAGGTTTTTGATATGGGTTTTCCAAAAATGTGATCTTTTTTCTAAGTTTTTGGTATGGGTTTCCCAAAAATGTTATCTTTGTTTAAGTTTTTGATATGGGTTTTCCAAAAAAATGTGATTTTTTAAAGTTTTTGATATGGGTTTTCCAAAAATGTGATCTTTTAAAAGTTTTTGCTATGGGTTTTCCAAAAATGTGAATTATTTATTTTTAATTTTATTATTATTATTATTTTTTTAAGTTTTTGATATTGTTTTCCGAAAATGTGATCTTTTTAAAGTTTTTGATATGGGTTTTCCAAAAAATATATTATCTTAAAGTTTTGATATGGGTTTCCAAAAATGTCATCTTTTTAAAGTTTTTGATATGGGTTTTCCAAAAAGTGATCTTTTTGAAGTTTTTGATATGGGTTTTCCAAAAAATGTGATACTGTTTAAGTTTTTGATATGGGTTTTCTGAAAAAAGTCAAGTAGATAGAAAATCTTTATTTGTGAAGCTTCTGATATATACATGGTTTACTTCCACAGACAGCTATTCGTGAAACCATGGTACTCCCTAACTCTGAAAGTGTAACCATTCCCTTTATGTTAGCCGAAAAGAACGACTGGATCCCACAAAAAGCCGCCCCTTTTATATTTGCCAATCCTGAATCCACCACCAACTCCACCACCACAACCACCACCACCACCACCAACACCACCACCACCACCACCACTACACTACCACCACCACTACCGAACCCACTATTGTACACGAACCTCATCCCTGCCAACCTTCCCAAGAACCTCATCCACAAGAACCACAAGATGTCCATAACACTAGCAATCGTAGCTTAGAAAGCGTATCTGAAACTGATGATCAACACTTGGGAGAAAATGAAGATCCTGTCACTGTAGATGAGAAAACTCCATTGTTGGAAAGTGAGGAACATGGACAGAAGAAGAGGCGGATCTTACTGTGTCACTCCGGTCGGTTGATGAGAAGAGGGAAGTTAAATTGCCAAGCTGGCAACTCCACCCATTGCCACCTCAGCCAGTGGTGGTGACGAGTGAAGAAAGTAATGACATGGCGGAAGGGGAGGATGCGAGGTTAAGAAGAATGGGAACCAAGGCCAAGATGTTGGGGTTAAGGAAAAAGATGGGGGAGAAACTTGAAGAAAAGAGACGGAATATTGAAGAGAAAGGAAGACATATTGTTGAGAAGATGCGAGGTCCATGAGGGAGCTAATTCTTTTGTGTTTTCATGTGTACATTTATCTCATTTGTGTTCGTTGTACGTTGCTGGAGATTGAATACATTGTTAAAGAGTTTTCAATGATTGGTTTTACAATTCAAAACATGTATAATTTTTCTTAGGGTTAATGCCATAACTCTCAATTTGCTCTTTTAAGTTGCTAGATTTTTTTTTTTTGAACAATGAGTTAGTTTATGCCTGGGATTGAACCCAGGATCTCATTGTTAGAAACACCTTGTCCCTAGGTAATTGTACTCAATTGACCAATAGTGTATTTTTTATGTTTTATTGCTCCATTGGGTAGATTTCAACATTTATTTATTTTTACTAAGACATCTGGTTGATGATGGTATTTTGATCATGTACATTAAAACTTTGTCCTTAGAATGGTGGAATTGTTGTAATCATTTCGTTTAATTCAATAATTCAGTTCAATTATTGCTTAATTTACATGTTTCAAACCTAGATCATATCATATTTTTGTAGTTATAGCTTGCATAAATAATTAACTTATTTATTTTGTTCAAGATCAAATGTGTTGTCCCATAAGTATTTACAAAGTTATATTAAAGAAAAAAAAACATGTCACATATGGAGCAAATGCCAAAAAAAAAGACAGGAAATGAATCAATTCTTTGTGCAATTGTCATTGAATTATAAAATTTATGTTGACACATGCATGCAACTTCTGTTTTTTTATTCTTTAAATATCATGTACATATTGAATGCAATTGAAACAGCTCAAGGGGTGGTATATCCGCTCAATAAATTAAATGTTATAACCCGCTTTTAATCGGAACCACACATCAACAATACCGTCACAACCCATCCTCAAAATCGAGGATGACTTTGTGTACTTTTATAAGGTGATTATGGTGAGTTATTTCTTCCAATCAATCAATTGTTGAGGAAGAGAAATAGATAAATAAATAGTTGATAAGATGGAGTAAAGAATTGGTTCTCATATTCTATTTTTTAAATACAATGACATGGACATGAAAAAAAATTGGGTTGAAAAAACCAATATGATTAGTTAGTCATTATTATCACATGATCGTGTAACAATCAACACATTCCATATAAAATAACTTTAGTATGGATGACATCTATATTGCTTGACATTACAGAAAAAAAAAATATATATAAATAAATAAAAATAACTTTTATGTAATTTACCCAAATTTAAAAGGTTAAACGATAAGTTCAGCATGAACTTAATTAGCACCGGACCCGGATCCGACAATTTTACCGATATATCGTCTTTTACGTTATTTGGGTTTCTGAAATTAAAGGTGAGAACCAGCTAGGCTGCTACGCCATTGCCTTGTTGTTGCTTAAACCAAACTGACAAAAGGGCACGCTTTTATTACCCAAAACCCTAAACCTTCCACCGATAGAGACGACCTAGTACGATGTCTGCCCTAGAAATCGAAGCTCGAGAGTAAGTAAAAGTAGATTCTTTCGTCAATTTTATGTCACTGTGTAATGCATTATTTGTAGAGTTATGTAAATTGATATACCTTAAGCTATGATAACGAGATGATTGAAACGAATCCATCTTATAAACCGACCGAAAATACATCGTTGTGGGAGTACAATTTGGAGGTAATATTGAGGAACCCTCTTGTATGCGCTAAATTATGACCCGAATCGTAAGCTCAGCTCACGTATCACGTATGTCTGAATGATTAAAGCTATTACCAAATTAACAACCTTTCGTTAGTGGTAAACCTTATATATAAATACTTGCCTTGGTATACTTTGTGAATTCGTCCTTTATAGTCCATGAATGAGCAACGTATTGTAATTCATCCAGCTACTTTTGTTAACTGGAAGCACATTATATGCTTTTATATAACTTTATTGTACTTTTGGTTACAGTGTGATTAAAATAGTTCTTCAGTTCTGCAAAGAGAACTCTCTGCATCAAACATTCCAAACACTGCAAAGCGAGTGCCAAGTATCTCTAAATACAGTGGACAGCCTTGAAACATTTGTAGCTGATATCAACAGTGGTAGATGGGATGCAATATTGCCTCAAGTGGCACAACTTAAGCTTCCAAGAAAGAAACTGGAAGATTTATATGAACAGGTATGTAACACATTAAACACCCTTTTGACTAGTCAAAGTCTGTTCTTGTGATTTCCTATATCTTGCATTGATTCCAGTTATCTATTTGAATGCCACTGTAGATTGTTCTAGAAATGATTGAACTTCGGGAGCTGGATACTGCTCGTGCTATATTAAGGCAAACTCAGGCAATGAGTGTCATGAAACAAGAACAGCCAGAAAGATATTTAAGACTTGAGCATCTTCTTGTTAGAACTTATTTTGATCCCCATGAGGTTAGAATCATAATTTCTTCATTCTATAGAAATTCCAATAACATATCACAGTATTTTGTTAAGTGATTGTGCTAATTATGTTGTACTTTTATTGTTATTACTATTCAGGCTTATCAGGAATCAACAAAAGAGAAAAGACGCGCACAAATTGCTCAATGTTTGTAGTTTGTAGTTTGTACATATATACCCTTTCCAAATATCCAAGAAATAGAACAAGAAAGTTAACTTTCCTGTTTTGCCCTTTTCAGCTATTGCGGGAGAAGTCTCTGTAGTTCCACCATCACGTTTAATGGCTCTAATTGGTCAAGCATTGAAGTGGCAACAACACCAAGGTTACACCATTATCTAATGTCTAATTCTAAACTATAATCTTTGCCCTTTTCTCATAGATTTGTGTTATTGAGAATACTTTACTTGGCTCTTTTAGGGTTGCTGCCACCTGGAACACAGTTTGATTTGTTTAGAGGAACAGCTGCTATGAAACAAGATGTAGATGATAAGTATCCAACAACTCTTGGTCATACCATTAAGGTAATTTCTTATATATTTTTTCATGTTAAATAATTTAGTTCCATTGTTAACCTTTCTGTTATAACTTTATTGCAGTTTGGAAAAAAAAGTCACCCTGAAAGTGCAAGGTTCTCACCAGATGGACAATTCCTTGTTTCTTGCTCTGTTGATGGGTTTATCGAGGTTAATCTTGTCATTTACATGTTAAATTATAGTTTAGATTATAAGATTATGAATGATATGGAATTTGCTACATTAATGTGAAATATTTACCAGGTCTGGGATCACATAAGTGGGAAACTTAAAAAAGATCTTCAGTACCAAGCAGAAGTGAGTGATGCTTTGTTTTTTAACATAATAAGAATTTCTTATTTAATTTATTAAAATATGGTGTTTTCCTTCTGCAGGAATCCTTCATGATGCATGATGATGCTGTTTTGTGTATCGATTTTAGTAGAGATTCAGAGATGCTTGCTTCTGGATCACAAGATGGAAAGATTAAAGTAAGCATACATTGTCTTGTGTGTTTTTATTTTATATTTTACACACAACCTATTTTAATTGTAAATATAAAATCTGTTTAATTATATAATTATAGGTTTGGAGAATAAGGAATGGACAATGTTTGCGACGCCTTGAAAATGCACATTCTCAAGGTGTCACAAGTGTTGTGTTTTCGCGTGATGGAAGTCAGTTATTGAGCACTTCATTTGATGGAACTGCAAGGTCTGTTTTACATACTATAAATTAAAAAAAAAAAAAACAGTTTATTTAAGTTGAAATATACATAATAAACACACATTTGGTTGTTATATATTGTATTGAATACCAGGATTCATGGGATAAAGAATGGAAAATTGTTAAAGGAATTTCGTGGTCATTCTTCTTATGTAAATGATGCCACTTTTACAACTGATGGACTTCGTGTCATTACTGCATCAAGTGATTGTACAGTAAAAGTTTGGGATTTGAAGACTACAGATTGTCTACAAACATTCAAGCCACCACCTCCATTGAGGGTAATTTAGTCATTTACTCATATTCAGACAGTTCATTCAAATTTCTAAAAAGAAACAACCTTTATTACGAAAACAACCTTTATTATCAAATATTAAGTCAATTAAGTCAAAGATTCTTTGAAGTTTGACTTTACAGTTGCTCTGTGTTTGACTTACAGGGAGGAGATGCTTCAGTAAATTCAGTTCACCTTTCTCCAAAAAATCCAGACCATGTTATAGTTTGCAACAAGACATCATCAATTTATCTCATGACTCTTCAAGGACAGGTGGCTTTTTGTTTTTATCAGAAGTTCTTATTAATTAAGATGCATGCATTCAGTTATAAATATATTTGTGTTGAAAATATGAAGGTGGTGAAAAGTTTCTCATCTGGTAAAAGGGAGGGTGGAGATTTTGTTGCAGCTTGCATATCACCAAAAGGGGAATGGATATATTGTGTTGGTGAAGATAAGAATTTGTACTGTTTTAGCCATCAATCTGGGAAACTGGAGCACTTGATGAAGGTGCATGAGAAGGACGTAATCGGTATTTGCCATCATCCCCACCGGAATCTTGTAGCCACTTATGGTGAAGATTGCACCATGAAACTATGGAAGCCTTGAAGATGCTCTTTTATCGTTTACCCCCTTTTCTTTTTCTTTTTTTGGTTTTGAAGGACTCATGTAACAATAGTTGAATACATTTTTATTTTGTATGTCAGTTTATTTTTTTTTTCACTTCAAGTACATGCTGTTATTCATGTTGTTAACAAATGCATTTAATTACCATAATCATGAAGTACTTATATATTTTGTTAATGATATAGGTAATTTGGTTTATTGCTAAAAAGTGATGTTATGTGTAGAGAAATATAAGTACATTGCTATTATAAGTCAAATATGGCTGTTATTGGTAAAAATACAAGTCATAACAACATATTTGAAGTAATTTCATTAACAATGCCCAACTTTCAGCTTTGTACATTGCTGGTAAAAGGAATAAAGTAGGTTGTTATATTTCATGTAATTTGCTAATAATTTTGTTCTTATAAATGACATTGATACTTTTAAGCAATTGTTATCAAACAAATTAAATTAACATAAATTATCAACAAATGGTTAGTACATGCTC